AAATTTTGTATCGTTATAATGACCTTGTTAGCAAGTACAGCCTGTCATTAGATCCGGTCGTACTGTTTCATAGGAATCGTTAGGCCTTTGTTTTAAAACTGAATTTGACTACGCTGAATCTTCTATCTAATCAATACATTGGGCTAACTGCGGGTGTGACCGAACAACAGGGTCTTGATACCACTCCTTGTCACCAAGCTGACCGAATCTCTGGAATTTCGGGGGAGGGGGGTCTGTGTTTATACCCAAATCACAGAATTGCATGTATAACTGATTGTATTTTTTTTGTACTAGATCGGTGACTGCTCGTTATCTTTATCGTTTTCAGAAAGGCAACGAATTTGTTTTCTTTTTTTACAATAAACTTTCACTCCAAAAATCAATACGTAAATATCATATGACAAACAATTGCATCAAGTTTGTCAAATTTTATCACAATGATCATGACAGTATTGAACATATTTACATATTGTGTTTAAAAAAACGGCGAATGACAACAGTAGCCTTGAACAAGGCTTAAAAACACGTTGTGTCATTATAACGTCTCGTATGATTTCAACTCTGAGTGAAATACAATGCTGAGAGTCTTTTTTAAATTATGTGGTAGTCAACGATTCAATCTGGTCATACTTGTATCACCTTAATAAATAAACAAATGTGTGAAATAATATGCCATAAATGATTTTTAAAATTAATAAACACTTAAATTTATCTTCAATGAAATTATGGCACGTTATTACAGGTCGTAAATTCATACTTTACTTTCAGCTGATATAAATATCCTGAAATTTTGTGAAAATGAACATTGTATTTTACCTATTTATCAAATTGAAATATAAGGAGATAACGAACAGCATTCAAGCTCAAAAGTCCATTTAACAATACAAAATAGGAGCAGAGCGAACTTGGATCTCCAAGACATCAGATTTTGGATCAGGTGCCATGAAGGAGAGAACATCCCCTGTCGACGATCTCACCCGCTGTGTGTTCCTTGTTATGATTGTAATGACAATCGATGTGTGTAAATAATGGACTAACAATTACTATGAAAAACGACAGTCATCATTTAACTTTCTGATAAACTGTGTATGCTGACAGGGTCATTGTATCGACCATAGGACGTACGGAATGATGACTTTAACGAGACTGTTGATATTTTTTTTTTAGCAATTTGTCTGTTAATAATTTTCCTCGATTTAGAAACTGTTCATACATAGAGAATGTTCTTGCGTATCGAATCAACTGAGAGATATAAACAGATATAAGTCGAACTTGTTTGATTTGGTGAAATTACTAGTAACATTTCATACAATTGTAATCTTGTTTTAAGTTTATTGGAACATTTTACAAAATCTGTAGCTTTAATGAATGTTTTTTTCATACAATGAAGAATTGTCTACTAACATAACACAATCGATACAATATGATACTTTATGTAAAACATTGTTTTATAGTATTTAGGTATTAACAATATTTAATTTTATAGAAGTAAAGAGACAATTAATAAAGGAATTTTTTATCAGGATATTGATATCGCGTCCCAGAAAATCATTTGAACAAAGTTATGCAACAACAAAAGGATAAAATTTCCATGAAAAGGAATAACAAGATAAAAGTAACCATACTCAAAGTCTACCAGACAGTACTAGAGAGGAGCAGAGGATACGCGCAGCTCAGAAAACAGAGTCGTGATCAGGTACTGTAGGAATAAACATACCCGGCCGACCGGTCAGACCCACTATGTGCTCATTGTCATGAATGATCGGGAAAAAATGAAAGAAATATGTACACATTGCAGTGTGTAAAAATGGCTTCGCAACTAGTAGGAAAAAACGCTAAAATCGTTGAAGAAATTCTACGTTTCTGTTCAAGATGATCTCTTACATGTATTCACAGTTTTGAAAAAAAGAATCACTAAAATACCAATGTCTCAACAGGGCTAGGTCTAGTGATGTAGACATATGCCAGTTTATATGTTGCGTCAGGTGACCGGTAGGGGATGGTCACTCCTCCAAGGCACCTCAGATCCCAACTCTGATGACTATAGATAGAGGTTCATGTTTGCTCTGCTCCTATTTTACAAGTATTGTTTAATTGGACCTAGAGCTTGAATACCATTCATTATCATCACTTTCATGTTGTACGTTTAACATTACTGAAAGGTAAATTGCTTACTAAAAGTATTATTGTGTAAAACTTGCACTAAACGGCAGATGAGAGCATTATCCTCTATTATTATAAAACCTTAACATTTGACTTCAGTAACTTAAAGGTGAAAACATGGTTCAACTCAGGTGAATAGTGCGTCCATTTAATAAGAAACATGGCAAGCCCTACTTTATATATTCTTACAAAAGTATTTAATGAAGCTGTTTGCAACCCGGTCGATTTTTGTACACGTATCAGAAGATTCGCCATAAATTAAAAGACCAAGTCGTTATGAAATCAAAGAGAGCTAAGTCTAGAATTGAACCCTCCGGACCTGTTATGTCTCGTAGCCCCGTCCGAGGTTGCCGCGGTACTCTGAAACCAGCAATGTTGCCTACTTTTCTTATCTGTGGATTACAAAAATGACAAAAGATAAAAGCAAAACTCCCAGTTTTATTGTTCTCGCTGTTTTGTCAAAATACCATTTGAAACCTAATGACGCCATTAAGAACGATTTTCTCTCGCTTTTTCACCTTACGGCGAGTCTTTATCTCCGAACAAAAAAGATGCTCCGCCACCATTAAAATGGCCATATTTTCTACGTTTTGCATGACAAGTGCGTTTGATAGGAAATTGATTTGTTCTTAAATTAATTTGGCAAGAAATTAATTCAGATCTGTTTTCGTAAAAAAGAGATAAATTGGAGAATATATCATTGTTGCTTGCCATAAACTGGAATCATTCAACGACGATACGAGGTCGTGATTTACGCTTTGTAGCGCCTCTGTTATAGCACCTGACAGGTTTTTATTGACCTTATCACCCTCCTATATAATATCTCAGGTGAAAAAAGTAATAAAAGTATTGGAAGAGTTGCCAGAAAAGATGCCCTTATCTCTAATTTCTTTCTTTGGTACATCAAAAACTCTGCAACGTATTCTTTTTCACTAGAAGCAAATGTGACATTGTGAAATATCCTTATACATAAACAGCGATGTGTATACTTTTATTTAGCAAAAGATTTTGAAAAAAATAATTTTACCATGATAGTGTTTTGAAAAATCATGAATAAAGGTCTGCAGCATCACTTGAGTTTTGAGTTGATGGCCTTCTACTGGAGGCATTGAGCAAAAAATTGCATGGTTTTGATGGGTGTCATTTCAATATTTATGGTCCATTGGTTAGAGCTTCTGGGGTTATAAGCTACTGGATCTCCATTTGTTATATACCTGTGGGATAGTATATCATTTAAAAAAAAATTGGATACATAAGAAGTGCATTGTTATGACGAACAAGGGTGCCCCTTTCTAAAATTGTAAATTTTATGGTCCTTGTTTCAGGGTCGTCTGATTTTTTTTAATCATGGCGAGACTCTGCTGATGGTTTAGTAAAAATGCATTACTTCATTGAAAACCTCATTTCTTCAAATGCTGTTGCCTTAATTGTGGCAATGAGGCAAATGCATGACTCACTAAATGACCATTAAGGCATCTGCACCTCTTCTCTAAAATAAGATCCACGCCTTTTGTTTGGTCATAGTGAAAAAAAAAACTGATTGCCAATTGATTTTCTGTAAGTTTTTCAGACGAGTCTTCAAATAAAATAAATAAGAATTCGCAACAATTAAATTTCCTTAATTTTAGACTTATGGATTTCTTGAAGGAATGAAACATTGAGATAACGAACAGTATTCAAGATCAAAAGTCCATAAAACAATACAAAATAGGAAAAATTTGATGTATTTTCTTCAATGGTTAACTATTGAGCAAGGAATAAAAATTTATAGTTCTTGGCTCCTTATCCCACCTCTTATGTTTTGGAGGTCCGTGTTTGCTCTGCTCCAATTTTATATTGTTTATTGGACTTTTGATCTTGAATAATGTTCGTTATCTCCATATGTTTCATTCTTACTATTGCAAAACATGCATTTCAATAGTTCTATAATTAAAGAATTATTAACAGAAGAAAATATTGAAGAAAGTTTTTTTTATTAATCGGAAGGGTATAAATTACAAAATGTCAAAATTGAAATGTTTCTTTATATATTTAGAAGTTTTATGCGGTCATGCAGAAAGGTAAGGAAATGAAAATATCAAATGGACTAGAAAAAGAAAACCTCGATCCTTTTCGTCTGAAGCCTATGCATGTTCGTTCAAGTAATTACATGTATTGAAATGATGAGAATATTAAAGCTCATTCACAAAAATATGCTTCCCAAAACAAACGAAGACATTCCTTTCTTCACCAGAAATAGTCCGGCGACATCGTAATCTTCCGATTGTTCATCTGCCCCTGTTTACACAAATCATTACGCCATTATTGTTAAAATAGTTCCTATCGGTATAAAATAAGAAATATTGACCTCTTTTATCAGTTAAAATTTGATGTACTTTATCGGATTACATCTATTTTTATTTCATAACATCATTGTTCACTCAAGTCATTCTAGGCCAAATGGAAGTAAAAATAGAATAATTCCTAAGGAAAACATATAAAATAAAAGCATGGGTCAAACCGGTGGAGCAAAGTTTTATTTGTTTATTTATTACTAGTTAAATAGTTTAAAGAGCAGGGTATAATAGAGAAATATGCAGTTATTAAATGGCTCTGATTGGTAAAATTTTATAAATCTAATCACTACTCTCTCATGTCTATGATGTGACATTACGTAGCACATCTATGGTGGTGAAGTTTGATATGAGATTAACAAAACAAATTCTACCAATACGTGGGAATGTTAAATCGGTCCTATTAAAGGCTTATTAATCACTTTATATAGGGTTCAATTACTTTTTCGTTCGATCACTCTTTGTATGGGTAGACACTTATGACAACTATTTTGTTTTTTGCAGTTGACACGAAGTTCTTTGCAAAGATCTACTAGTATATCGCAAACTGGGCAAAAAGATACATTCTCCAACGGAGGTATGTTTAATCTGAAAACTTGCCTTTCTACTATTAGCTTATAGAGGCAGTTGTTATTTACTAAAAATGAAAAGTGTTTGTTTCGTAACAGTATATTACAGTTGTGTTAAAAAAGAACATAATTTTGTATTTTCATCAAATCACAGAATTTTATTTTTGGAAGTTAACAAAACCTTTGCAGCAAAAAATTTAATTACACTGTGTTCTAAAAGGTATTGAAATTCATCTCTAGTTCTTTTATTCAGCATTGTTCCAACTACATGTATCACCCACCCCATAACAGTTCAGATTCTTCACATTAAAACTTTTTAAAAACTGCATGCTTGTCATTTCATTTGCATTTTTAAAAAAACATTTTTCTTTGAGCTTTTCGTACATATCTTTGAAACTTTCTTTAACATTTCATTGTATTTATATGCATTTTTGGGTCATGATCCTTTTGAAAAATAAAATATATAATTTATCTTATACTAGTAGTATTATCTGCTTGTAATAATATAATTTAAAAAAAAGTATATAAAGTTCGACTGCAAAAAGAAATGATTGTTTTGATGAATTCATATAAAATACGGGGTTTATATATCGAATATTTTATGCATTATGCAATATGATCATGATATACCCATATGGTGGCATGTATTTCTGCGCCAAGTATGCAAGATAAATCATGTCAACAAGCATTAGAATATGTCATCATGCAAGACAATTGTGTCTACATGCAAGACATTTATGTTAACATGCAAGTTACCAATTTTATTAGATAATTTGATTTTGAATAGCCAAACATTTTCCTCCTACTTGTATTTACGCCAATATCTGACATCATACAAGCAAGATGCAACATAATTATCTTGAAATGCGATTTCTTTAATTATGTCAATATGTAAGACAGTCAACATACAAACAAAATTATGTAGACATGCGACTTATTTACATCATTATGAAGATGATTATGTTAACATGCAGCTTCTTTAGTTATCATGCCACGTATTAATGCTGACAAATAATATCTAAACTTTCAAGATATTTATGTCCAGATGCAATAATGAATTGCATTTCAACATACATATCTCGCATGTTGAAATAATTAAATCGCATGTTAACATTAATGAGTTTCATGTCAACATAATTATCTTGCATTTAACATAATGAAGTCGCATGTCACCAAAATCCTGTTGCATTTGCTTGTATCTTAATATAGCATTAATTAAGTTCAACAACATTACAATTTTGAATTTTTTTTTTAGAGATTGGTAACTTGCACGTCATCATTATTATTTTGCATGTTGACAAAGATATTTAGCATATCTACATAATTATGTTGCATATTAAGGCATAATTTATTTACTTTTAATTTGCATGAAGTGAGCAGAAATATGCCACCATATACTAATATTTACATTCAGTGTAATTTTCTTTATGAAATCCATTAGAAATCAGTGACGTTCAAATCTATAACACACGCGAAACCTTGTCACCGCGCGTTAGAATACACAGTAGGAACTATAAGCATTTTCAATACTTTATGAACATCAAAATGTACATTGTTTGACACAATTTAAAAAAAATTAACCCTGTTAAATTAACGTAAAAATACAACAAATGTGCATTTAGAATTAATTTGTCACTTTTTTTCCTCGCAATGTTCGTTTGGCGTTATTTAACTTTACGACGTCACAAACGTCACAAACGGCTCTTACATCTATAAATCACACCAGTTTTGAAGGTCGCTAAATTCACATTAAAGATTACCGAAATAAACAATTATGAAGAGGAAAAATCAAAGAATGTAAATATAAGCATTGAATTCATATTTTGGGATGTCTTCAGTCCTATAACACACCTGGCCGTGCCGACAAATTATCATACCGCGCATTTGTCGGCACGGCCAGGTGTGTTATAGGACCGAAGACATCCCAAAATATGAATTCAATGCTTAATTAAACGGAATTTTTTTTTTCAATTTCTTCATTGCAAAAGACATACGTCTTATAGCAATAAATCCCCAATAATACAATATATAAACAAAGGAAATAATCGAAAACTTTGTTTAAAACTATAGGCAAATTGTTTTTGATATTTTGTTTTCATCTCCAATTGTTATCCCCTCGCAACGGAATTTATGGGGATACAGTAATGCCGCTTGTGTGTGTGTGATCTGGTTATATTGTCCTTTTTTGCGCAATGAAAGAGACGAAATTTGTACTTTGATCGATGTTGAATGCTGTCTTGACTTTGGTGAAGGTATGCTCCGCTTTGTCGTGCAAGCGTTGCAGTTTGGCTGTATATATTTATGGCTCCAATGCAGTTTTACTGAAAATTAAAATCAAATGTTTCAAATACTCAAATTTTAAACTGTTCTAAAGAAGGATTCGAGCGAAGAAGACCTTGACAGTAAAATTTATTTAGACTGATAGACAAGCCACCTCAATTTTTTGTGGTGGGGGGATATTTCAAGATAAAATTATTCTAAATTGTGTATTCTCAATTAATAGTTATAATATTTCAAGTAAAATTGCTTAATTGAAGTACATATTTTGTAAGAGATATGTGATATAAATGGTATAAAAACAGTTAGTTTTGATTTAAATTTTATCCGTCCATTTGTGAGGTACAATTAATTCAGTCCTACTATGTAAATTGTCACTTCATGATCTAGTGTTCCCATAAGTTGTATTACACTGCAACATAAACAATTTTTAACAAACCATAACATCGGAATTGTATTTCTGCAACTGACCAAGAAATTTTATATCACCTGTACCAAAAATAGACCAATTTTAAAAGTTTACGCTGGACGGGTGAATCTATATGGATACACGATGGGGATTCTAAGGCATCGAGGCATGCATGGTGACCAGGGTATACATTTAGAATATTAATACTTGTTTATAATCTAAATCTATGGAGTGTAAAGACCATCAAAAAGTAAGTCAGTTGATTCCTCTGTCTATTTCCGCACATATTTTGTAATAATACTTGATTTCTGTAATTTCTTGGACATTTTGCATCCTCTGGTCTGATGTTTCTGGATTTTCATAAAATGTATGAGGCCTATTGTTCTGGGTATCTGTTTAAAACATCCTAACGCCTACATTAAAAACAGGGTAGATATACTTGCTTTGAAAAAATAAAGCATTCAATTCATGCTAGAATAAAATTTTAGATGACCAATAAAAAGAATAAACGTAAATAAAGAAAAATAAAGCAGATGATTTTGAAAGTTTAAAAATATCAATATCCACGGTCCAGCTGCCTTCAGGCTAAAAAGGTGTTATATTCCAAAATATTTAAAGGTAAACGTATAGGTCTTTAAAAGGATGAAAGGCATATTTTTACTTTATTTCTATTAGAATACACGTCCATAAATATGGATTTAAAATATCATTCTTTGTTGTTTGTACGGTGTCTCACAGCAGGTTAACATCTTTTTAGTAAAAATGGATTATCCGGTTCCTGAGTAAAATTATTCATTTATGTAAGCTTGATACAGTTCCATCAAAGTTACCACTGAATATGTTTGAAAGCTTGTAATCAGAAGAATATGGATGAAGCTCATTCCTATGAAACTTAACCTTTCATTTTTAGTGGGTGCTAAGGACTTCCCGGTTTCCTTGTCCAGTCTTGTCTTTCTTTTTTCTGGTTTTGCTAGTTTTGTATGCCTGGCGTAAGAGTTTGATTTGATAACTAAATTGGTTTTGACCTTTATTTGACCTTTAGTTTATATCTTGGATCGATCACTGTTCGTGGACTTCACTTTTCAATTAAAACTCACTTTGTAAAGCAGAAGAAACAAGCTAATTCAGAGAATTTGTGTCCCCCGCTTAGGGAAAAAGTAAACCATGCGCAGTTCGGGGAGGGGGGGGGGGTGGGGGGCTCGGATCTCCCTGACTGAATTTGTAGAATTATTAAATGTATACATGTATACTGAAGCAAAAAAAAAAATGTCAATATGGATATAAAGATTTGATTGCTTATTCTTAATTATGTGTATAGAAGATTCATTTTATATGGAATATTTATGACACTGTAATGATGATTTTAATTTGTACAACCTTTCGTAAATTTTTCATTTCGCGTGCTGAATACTATTATTTAGTAAAAAAAAAAGTATTTCTAAAAAAACAAAAAGTGGTCCGTCCGGGACTTGAACTCGGGACCTCTCACTCTGGAAGCGAGAAACATACCACTAGACCACGGAATCGCTTTAAATGTAATTAAGTATATGCAGAAGTGAAGTCACATACATGTATATATTGTTCGGTATTGTCAAAATTTTACACAATCCATGGTGTTTGATTTATTTAGCCTTTATTAAACAGTTCTAATAGATGTAATAAGAACATAAAGTCCTCCAGGAACCTGTTTTATACGCAATAACTCTCCTCATGCCCCTGTGCTAAAAATAGCTTTACTATAAATACTAATAAAACAAACGGGGCGGGGCACTCTGAGAGGGGTGAGAGAGGTCCTAGGGAGTTTTGGTATAAAATTACATTGCATATGCTCAAAATTAGTGTTACACACAGACCTTTAATTTACGACCTTGAACTTTGACCTTTTGACCTCAAAATCGACAGGGGTCTTCCATAGGCCACAGGGAGTTGTTATGTAAAATTTCATTGCAATAGCTCAAATGGTTCTAGAGATATCGTGTGGAAACGAAAGTGTTATAACAGACAGAATTTGCTTATTTATGACCTTGACCTTTGACCTTTTGACCTCAAATCAATACTTTTAGTCCATAGGGAGTTGCTATGCTAAATTTCATTGCAAAAGCTCAAAGGGTTCTCGAGATATCGTGTGGAAACGAAAGCGTTACAGACAGACAGAAAGACGGAGCAGAACCCAAATTAAATCCCCCACTTTTCAAGTGTAGAAGTAATTAATATGCTGCTATTTTGTGTAACATTAAAGTTCTTGGCTATCGTAACCTTGACTTTGAATTGATATCTTAACACAGCATACATATAGCAAGGAATGATACCATTTGGAATTTC